GTATGTGCCTTTTAAGATACGTTCTTTATTTCACAGTTCTACTTTGTGTCCTTATTGCTGCTTATGGCTCTGTTAACAGCTAAAACAGGTTGGGAAAGACTCTTATTACCCCGTGGCTGTCAGAGTATGAGCTGGTGGTACCTCCCTGTAGGGTCTGCGTCCTTACCACTGTCCCAATGTACATCTGGCATCAGTTGTGATGATCATTAAGCTGGAACTATAATTGGATTATACAAAGAAACTGTCTCTCAGGCAGACAATTGGACTCATCCTGTTAGTAACCTTCCTTACATGTAAAACCTACCAAGCCACAGTTAACAACCTACTTTTATATATTTATATGTATAATGTAAATACAATATGTCTGTTGTATGTCCATGTAACTACTTCGCAGTGTGTAGATGGATCTTCATCAAAATTGATATGAATGTTTATTAGGTCCATGCGGAGATACATGCAAACCTGCGGCTTCACATTTTGTGTTTTGCAGTTTTTATGAGCGTTTTTCACAATTACATATAAGGAAAGCAACTTTCATGTCCTAATATAACCTTTCATTAATCATGAATTTACATAACTTCGGTCCAGCTAGTTTTATATATATGTTATTAATTAGTTAGTTATTATTTACTTAATTAATTAATTATTTATTGTCATCTTTTCTTCTTCGTAATCCAATCTTTAAATGTAAGTAAGAGGAAATTACATTTTCAATAATAATAAATCAAGCTACAGGGTGATTACAAATCAAGTTAAGTGTACCATATCTCACAAACAATATGACATAGGAAGATGAAACTGCACAGCATTATTAGGATATCATAGTTGTCACGTGTTTTGAGTAAATATGAGCCTATCAGCTGATCGTCAACCAGCTCATTCATCCATGATGAAACTAACAAGTATGCAGAGAGGTGAACCAGTGAAATGTTCTTACACCAAAGGATGCACTTAGGATGCAGCTCTCAGGGAATACTATAGAGAGCACAACATCTGCGGAGGACCTCGTTCCAGTGTTGCTGTGTGCAAATTCACACACACAAAAAAAGACTTGACAAGACAAGTTACACTTGTGATAAGCCACGCACAAGCAGAGCACCTACGGTGACTGAAACTATCATTGAGGTCGGCTATGTCATTGAAGAGTAAGTGAACCTGGATGCAGCAGTGTATGTCATGTTCCCTGATGTCTGTTTGTAAGCTGTTTGGACAACCTTATCACAAGTTGTTTCACATTCCAGCACTGAAGAAGATGGATTGAATCCAACGTGTTGGTTTTGCACTGCAGTTTTTTCAAAGACTGATAGTCGATGACCAATGGGCCCGTCAATATTTTATGGACTGATGAGGCATACTTCACACATTTCTTGATCGGAAACTAATTCCCATGTGATATTTCCAATACACATTCATGATACTAAAATGACAGTGTGGTGAAGTTTCGAAACTAACTCCCATGTGATATTTCCAATACACATTCATGATATTAAAATGACAGTGTGGTGAAGTTTCGAAACTAGTTCCCAAGTGACATTTCCAATACACATTCATGATACTAAAATGACAGTGCGGTTAAGTTTCACAAGTGATTTTGTTACTGGACCACAATTGTGAAGAACCATCAGCACATGAACTGCAAATCTGTACAGTCTATGCTACATTGTACTGTGCAATGCTCATAACCAATATGATGCTACATGGTACTGTGCAATGCTCATAACCAATATGATGCTACATGGTACTATGCAATGCTCATAACCAATATGATGTTACAGGGTACTGTGCAATGCACATGACCAATATGATGCTACATGGTAGTGTGCAATGCTCATAACTAATATGATGCTACATGGTACTGTGCAATGCTCATAACCAATATGATGCTACATGGTACTGTGCAATGCTCATAACCAATATGATGTTACATGGTACTGTGCAATGCTCATAACCAATATGATGTTACATGGTACTGTGCAATGCTCATAACCAATATGATGTTACATGGTACTGTGCAATGCTCATAACCAATATGATGCTACATGGTACTGTGCAATGCTCATAACCAATATGATGTTACATGGTACTGTGCAATGCTTATAACCAATATGATGCTACATGGTACTGTGCAATGCTCATAACCAATATGATGCTACATGGTACTGTGCAATGCTCATAACCAATATGGTGCTACACGGTACTATGCAATGCTCATAATCAATATGATATTACAGGGTACTGTGCAATGCTCATAACCAATATGATGCTACATGGTACTGTGCAATGCTCATAACCAATATGATGCTACATGGTACTGTGCAATGCTCATAACCAATATGATGCTACATGGTACTGTGCAATGCTTATAACCAATATGATTCCCATGCGACTGGTTTTCATCCAGGATGGTACTCTTCCTTATATATTGGTAACCAGGTGAAATGCATCTTGTATTTTGGGCTCAGAATCATTTCATAAGTATGGCCACGTGATTTATTTGACCACTCAATTTCTGGTTGTGGGGGGTACCTGAAGTAACGCGTGTGTCCTGAAAACCTTGGATATTTTCAGATCTCAAGGATGCACTTGTCTGTACCCTGGAAAAGCACGTTTCGAGCAGTTGCTGTCATTGATCAGACATTAGGTCATAGTGGTGCTACTGGTGGCAACATGTGACAACTGTGACATTTGTATACACATGTTTACATTTACGTTTACACCCTGTGCAATTTCACCTTATTATGTCTGACAGTTGTAAGATATGACACACCAAACTGCGAAACTTTCTTTATAACTACATCATAAACAAACGTAAGCCTAGTTTAGTGTTAACAATTTTGTATATAGGTATTTGCTTCACATTAACACTGCTCTAGTAACGAATAGTAAACTAGTAGTAACAGGGTTGTTCCAATTAATTTAATATAGTGAATATAATTTAATTTAGTATCTTTTAACCCTATTTAATGAAGAATACTGAATTACGTTACTGACGTCACAGTAATCGGGACTAATATTTTATAATATTGAGAAACAATGCAGTCTTTCGACTCATATTATTAACGTTTTAAGAATTGCGGGTAAGCCTACTAACTCATTTAATAACTATCTTTAATATTCTTTATAACTTCGTATAAATATGATCTAAGACACAGTAAGAACTTATACTTACATTGTTTAAAACATCATGAACTACAGTTATATGTAACTTACATTGTTTAAAACATCATGAACTACAGTTATATGTAACTTACATTGTTTAAAACATCATGAACTACAGTTATATGTAACTTACATTGTTTAAAACATCATGAACTACAGTTATATGTAACTTACATTGTTTAAAACATCATGAACTACAGTTATATGTAACTTACATTGTTTAAAACATCATGAACTACAGTTATATGTAACTTACATTGTTTAAAACATCATGAACTACAGTTATATGTAACTTACATTGTTTAAAACATCATGAACTACAGTTATATGTAACTTATATTGTTTAAAACATCATGAACTACAGTTATATGAATAGTTTCAAGTTCCGTGTTACAAACTTAAGGTTTGTTTGTAGGGATCTTTCATTAGATAAATTAAAAAAACAGTTTTGAGTCTACTTTTTCAAGAATAAAGTATTTATGAAGAATTCAAAAATGCCTTACAAAAACACTGGATTTAGTTGGTATAGTCGTAAACCCAAACAGTACAGAATCTAATATGGAAAAAAAGGTGCTTAGCAATAAGTTTAGTCATTAATCCAAAAATGTGCTAAGAACAGAGCTTTATCATAAGCGATTAGAGTGAAATCTAATCATGGAAGACAGAAGACGTGTGTTCATATAGAGTTTAGTCGTACGGAAGGGAATGATTAATGAAAGGTTATCTTAGGACATGAAAAGTTCCTTCCCTTATATGTAATTGTAAAAAAAACGCCCATAAAAACTGTAAAACGAAAACTATAAAACTGCAAAGTTGCATGTATCTCCCCACAGACCCAAGTTTGGTGAAGATTCATTTACAGGGAGCGAAGTAGTGGTAAAAAACACACATAAAAACGCCCATAAAATCCACAAAATGCAAAACTGAAAATTTCTATGTACCTCCGCATGGACCTAATGAACCTCCATACCAATTTTGGTGAAGATCCATTCACACCCTGAGAACCAGTTACATGGACATACAACAGACAGTATCGACATCATAGCAACAGAGGAAACCAACATAAACCTAGTTTCGCATCAATATATATTTAATATGAATTTCCACAATCCAAATAAGTTCGTCCAAATTAATTGATGAATTCTTAAAATAACTGAAAAAGTAATTAGAATATATGAACGAAATGAGGAATACTATTAGGTAAGTACTAATTAAAAACTGAGAACTTAGCTTTCCGTCGTTTTCAATCTCTAGCGCCACCTATCTATCGATCCTACGACTTTAAATAGTTGATTAAACAATAAGCTTCGTATTTTTTAATGTTACATTAATTTCAACATTTTCTGAGATATTAAAGATAATCTGAAAAATTAATTATCATACGCAGGCGCACTTTACTTATTATTGGAAAGAGTATTACTCCTGCAAAGGAAAACAGTTTGTAGAAGCTTAAAATAATGGAACTGCTAAAAGTACGAAGCTAATTTAGAAATTTTTTAAAACGTGCGCCCAACTTTTGTGAAAAGATTAGCATGTACTATTTCATTTCTTTCTGTATACATTCAGATTATAATTATTTAACTTAAATAAACCAAACAAGAACATATCCAATTATATATATATGTATAAGGGAAATGATACCCATAACCTAAAGGTGAAGTTTTACGAAATGCGTAAATCTATACCTATAAAAGTAAATGGTTTGTTTTGAAT